AAGGTGGAAATCGTTAAACTATCACTCATGTTAATAACACACAGTGTGTCCTGCATGTTGTTTTGGCCGCACGACGCACTGTCGTGTGTCTTGACTTCATTATAAGACGAATAATCTCTTATACTATAACAACTGCTTTTTTTATTAAATAAAAAAATACTGACGTTTAGCAGAGAGCAAACAATGGCTTATAACAATGTTTTCCAAACTGTGGAGCGCGCCATATGGGAGAGGGGTAAAGAAAATGTTGATTTTGCTGTTATCACTTGCGAAAATTATTTTAATGTGAAAGGGGGGGGGGAGGACGCAACAGAAACTTTGCCGAGTTAAGGAGGCGCTGCTATTTCAAGTTTGGAAAAAACCGGCTTGAAACAATATTTCTGTATATATTCTATTGTTTTTCCTTTCCTTTTTGTATATATAACTTTTTAAGTCTTGATTAAAAATGTTACAAAAGGACAAAACAGAAAATGTGAAATTATTACTGGGCATAATAGTGTAGTTGATACGTCTGTGACATTTTAGGATAATGTGTCAGGAAATTATATAAAAAGTAGTTATAAATTACTTGAAAAAGAAGAAAAAATTGAAAAATTAGTTGTTACTTGAAAAGTCCTATCTGTGTTTTGAAAATCCAAGCTTAAGTGCAGTTATTTTATTTTCCTTTCTAGTTATTATAAGGACAAAACAACAAAACTACAGCAACAACTGAGAGATAGGTTTTACTTTGTTAGCATCAGCTAGCAGTAGAGTTGGCTGGCATTATTTTAGTTCTATACGGACAAAGCCGTGAATTAATTTTAGACAAGTTTCTCCACTTAGCTCACTGAATATGTCAATCGTCAACAAATTATTTATTTATGTATACATCCTACGCTTCTACTTACTGTTAAACACGTAGTGTTTTTCTACGTACTTTCTATCCTCTTTACATCCAAACTACAGCAAAAACTATCCTCTTTGAAATTCCATTTACATAGTTCTTACATCATACAATATTTTTTGGATACTTCCTTCGACCCTTACGTTGTTGTTTTATGTAATTTCTACCCTGCCTCTTACAACGTCTTATGCAACTCTTCCTCTCTTACAATGTCTTTTTAGTAGTTCATAGACCCATATAATTCCCTCCTATTTAGTCCTTTTTTCTGTTAATATGACGCCTTTACGCAATTCTCATCCTCAATGTATTGTTTTTATTCGTACTTCAAGCTTTTCTTAATCATCATAATATTCTTGCAAAGTGTACTTGTACTATTCATTTGTTAGAGTTGTGTACTTACGACCGCTTTACACCATCCTATCTTTCTGTTGTTTCTCTCCTATCTGTTTACAGTGTTTATTGTACCACTCTAATAATTTGCACTAATTACTCTTGTTAAGTGTTTTTCATGAAATGTCTTTAGACAAAACAAGTTCACTATTTTATTTTCTATTGTTAAAGTATAAGTGCCTTTGAATAGTGTAGTTCTCTTCTTCGGGGGATCCTCTTAGTAGATTTCAATGTTTGAAAAAAATCTATGATTCTCTGTAGTATTTTTTACATTACGGTGTAATTATTATCATTTAATCAGATGCGCCGTAAGGTTTGCTAGAATAAAACTAAGTTTAATCCCACAAGCACGTTTTAACCACGCGTGTAGGATAAAAGAGCTACTGAAGGTTGGTTTACGCCTAAAATAAAATGACGAGGAACCATTTCCTTAAACGTACAACTCATTTCTGTATTGTATACGTATTACTTATATTTTTCACTAAATAAAAAAATTAAAAACCTATAAGAAACATTTAATGTTATAATGAGTAATTGAGTAGAAAAACGTATTTCTACAGCACCGAACAGTACATGTTTTTTCTAATATTTCTCAATGAGAAATACTTGATTTAAGATGGGTATAATGTACAACTAAATATCGTTTGACCTCTGAAATTTTCAAACCGATGAAAGATTTTAATCAGCTCAATATATTCAGTGTAAAAGAGAAAAATGTGCATTTAACTGCGACACAAGTTATATGTTTTTCTGTCTTGTACATTATAGAACATTTATACAATTTACTGTATCATATAAAAATATATGTCTTTAAACTGTCATCTACATTATCTTATTATCGTTATATTCCCGGCACGATTGCTTTACTGATATTAGTCATTTCAACTTATTCTTCAAAAGGTACCAGAAATAAGTAAGTTTTCTACAGAGTGAATCATTTTTCGCTTTTATATAGTTTATACGAATAACTATAGTTTCTTGTAAGGGGAAGCTTAAAGCTTTTTAAATCATATGTTGCAAAATAAATTGAAATAGGTTTCATGTTCACCCAAACAGAACAAAAACCCGATAGCTAAATCTAGATAAATCTAAAGAAAAAAAGAGTACAACGATGTGTTTTGAAACACAATCAGTGTGTTCAAATTCGATGACGAAGAACCCACTTTGAGACTAATAATGGTT